TGGGGACAGTGATCCCCCTTGTCACCAGACCCTCCGAAGTAGATAGGAGAAAGTGACAAGTCCTGCCTTTGGTGGTGACCTGGGGAAAGGGTGGGGTCTTAAGAGAAGAGAACCCATTAAAAAAATCAAATACCATCAGCTAAGAAGTTGTATTATTACTTTTATTTTTTCTCTTGGCTTTGGATATTGAAGTCAGGGCCTTTTTAGTTTGTGGAAATAGCCAAGTGTGTCATGGAAAAGGTAGTGTCCAAGTTGCAGGCAGCAGGGACAGGTGTGTGGGCTCGAGGGCAGCTGCAAGGTGGGAGTTCACCAGCTGACCCAGGATGGGTGCTGGCTGTAGGCCACATGGACAGGGGCAGCCCCGTGGCCTGGCAGCCTACGGCTGCAGGTGCGGGGTGGTGGGAATGCGCAGGTGCCTGGAAGTCAGGGAGCCAGGTATGGGATATGGGGCACCAAAGAGACCCCTGGGTAGATGGGGTGTTCCGTCATGCCCAGCTTCTTTTTTAATGTATTTAGTGCAGGGTCTATAGGATCTCGTATGCAGATTGGACTCATAGTGATCCTCTTGTTTTCAGCCTCCCCAGCACACTCCCAGCTCCTTTGGCCATTCCTTTATCTTATAAATGGAGGACCACCCCGGTTCCGCCAAAAATAAAAAAAAATAAATAAAAAAAAATAAATAAAAAAAATAAAAAAATAAATGGAGGACCATGTCTTGTAAAGTGCACCCAGATACAGTGTATGTAGGTCAAGCTCTGTGGTACTGCAGGGAATCCTGAAACCATGACCTGTTCAGATAGAACAAAATGCTCGTCTCCCTAGAAAGGTCTCTTGTCCTTGGTAGTTTACCTACATTTCCAGAAGCAACTCCTATGCTCAGCTCCTTCCCTCATAAATTACATTTTGTTTTGATTCCTTAAAAAATGTAAGTCTGCCTAGCATGGTGGAACCTACGTATGTCCCCAGCATTTGGAAGGCTGGCCAAATAGATCAGCGGATTAAAGTGGCTGCAAGCGGGCACAGTGGCCGGGGCTTTGATTTCCAGGCCTGCCCCCAGGGTGCGCTGAGACAGCAATTGAGACTGGGCATGGTGGCGCGTGCCTGTAATCCTAGCTTTTGGGAGGCTGTAAACAGGTGGATCACTACAAGTTTGATCTAGTAGTGAGACCCTGAACACCCTATAGACCCTTTCCTAAAATAAAAAAACAAACAAAAGCAAAAACAAAAAAAACCCTAAAGCCCCCAAAACATTATTTTGGGGGGCCTGCCTATTAGCTCAGTTGTTTAAGCACCTGCTTATGCAAATGCAGTCAGGCCCAGGATGCGCATAGTGAGACCTGCCTCAAAACAAAAACAAAAAGAAATAAACAAAACCGTCATGGTTCATCACAGGCAGCAAGCATTTAAGCATCTTTTTTTTTTTCTTTTTTCCCTCCCTCTCTTCTTTTTCATTCCTAGGACCTCCCTAGTGTTAGGTAAGTGCTTGCCTCTGAGCTGCATCCCCAGCTCTTTCTGTTTTCTCATTTCAAGCCCAGGTCTGGCTGAACTGCCCGGACTGGGCTCTCACTTGCGGCCCTCCTGCCTCAGCCCCGAGTGCTGGGAGCACACTGGGTGGGCTCTTGGGAGCGTGCGTGGGTCCTGAGCTTCTCCTTCACCACTGGAGACATCTGGGATTTGGTCACAGTGCTATTGGGTGGTGATGGAGACAGGATGGGCCGAGCTGAAGTGGTGGCTTTCAGTGGTGTGTCCCTGGGGACTGGGTCTGGCCCTCCACCTCTTCCTCTCTGGCTCTTCCCTTTTGCCCTGCTTCCTGGCTGCCATGAGCTGAGCGGCCTCCTCTGCCAGCCTTTCTGCCACAAAGATTCTGCCTCCTCAGAGGTCTGAGAACACCTGAGCCCGCTGTCCACAGCCTGAAGCCTCTGAACCCATGAGCCGAGATGAGCCTTTGCTCACCACCTGATCCCAGTGCCGAGTCCCAAGGCAGTGATGCTCCTGGGCATGGCCAACCAATCTCCACATTGCATTCCCTGCTTCCTTTAGCAGCAAAGCAGAAGGATTGGATGCCTCAGCCCTGTTCCGAGTGTCCCCCATCGTGAGAGTCACCTTCATGAAGTTTCCCTGCTCCTTCTGAAAGGCAGAGAACTTGGCACTGGGCTCACACTCGGGGTTGGATGAGCAAGGCCAGAGAAGTGGAAATCAGAGATGGACTCGGGAGACCCGCCCAGCACAGCCAATGGCAACAGGGCAGGTTGCGCCCAGGCGGGGAAAGGGGACCCACATTCCTATCCTGGCCCAGCCACTCCCTGGGGAAGGGCCTGAGCTGTGCAGAGCAGTAGGCCTGCCCAGCAGGGAGCCAGCAGGGAGGACCAGGGCACTGCACCTGGGTCCTTCCAGTACCAGCACAGTAATGACTGTGGCATCCTCTGAGACTTGGAACCCAAATGCCTTAGATGAAGGAGACTAAGGCAGGAGGACGGCAAGTTGAAGCCCAGCCTGGTCAATTTAGCAAGACCCTGCCTAAGCCATAACATTAAGAGAAATTAATCAGACACACAAACTTCAGTACTGCAAGATCTCTCTTACACAGAAAACCCAAAGTATAGATAAAGAGCAAAAAGAAAGAATAAGAAACAGGGAGATGGATTCTCTCATAAACAGGAAGGGCACAGAGACACAGAGAAAGGAGGCAAGGGAAGTAGACGTGAGCAGATGGAGATGTGTGGCTCGCCTGTGTACCTGCTTCCCATGAGGAACGCAGTGGGGGTCTCTGTCTTTCTTCTTGGGCTCAGGATGGTGGTTGGGCTCCACATCCCCACAGGGACAAGATCTGCTTCCCTCTCTCTGCTTCTTTGGTTTAGTCTGATCAGACTAACACATGGGGGTGGGGCTCCACTAAGCTCCTCCCTGGGGACAGGAAGTGGAGATGGCTGTGACCAGGCAGAGGCAAAAGCTGTCCCTTTGTAACCTCAGCACCCTGCCCTGGATGTGCAGGCTTCAGGGCTGGTTTGAACGGGGCCTGGGCTGGAGACCGAGAGAAAGTGCTGGTAGGAAAGACTCCTCAGCAGACGCAGAATGTCAGCCTGCTGGCGCCAGCCCATCTCGAGCTCCCCCTCCCTATCCTGAGCCTCCAGGACAGACACCCCGTGCTCAAGTCTTCTGGGAGTCCAGCTCCCATGCTGGGCAGGAAGATCCCATGGCT